TTATATTATACTATATTTTATTATATTATATTATATTAGATTATACTATATTATATTTACAAAATACAAGCAGTAGCAGAGAGCCGCACATGCCGGGCCTGTCGTCTCCCGGGCCTCGAACACTGGCTTCGGGAGTTCTGGGATCTGAGTTGGGTTTGGGTTGGAGTTTAGGGTTTAGGGTTTAGGGTTTAGGGTTTAGGGTTTAGGGTTTAGGGTTTGGTTTGGAGTTTAGGGCTCCGAGTTTTGGGATTCAGAGCCCATTGAATGACGGATCTGAGTTGGGTTTAGGAGTGAAGGGTTCAGGGTTTCGGGTTTACGCTTTCGGGTGTAGGGTTTGGGGAGCTGTGGGATCTGAGTTGGGGCAGCGTCACACTGCAAGGAAAGACCAGACCAAGACTCTGGCCCGTAACAGCTTCCACGTTCAGGAGCACGCTACGCGAGCTTAGTCTCTGAAGTTCCCTGAACCCAGAGCCCTGAACCCTGAACCCTAAACCCTAAACTCTAAACCTAAGGACACAAATAAAGAAAACGAAGGCTGCAGTTCATGAACGCCTTGAACTCAACGAGCCACTCTCACACCCCCCGGAGCAAAACAGTCTCCGCACACAACCCCCCCCCTTCCTCAACAGAACGGGCTGTAGGGGTTTATGCGAGGCGTCTGCGCGCTATTGGTTCAGGGGTTTAAGGGTTTGTCATGCTTTAGGGGATTAGGGTTCCGGGTTTAGGGTTTAGGGTTTACCCTAAACCCTAAACCCTAAACCCTAGGGTTTCGGGTTTAGGGGTTTAGGGCCTTAGGGCTTTAGGGCTTTAGGGGGTTCGACCTGAAGACCTTGGAGACCCCGAGCCGAAGAGAGCTGGGAGCGCCGCGGGGCCCTCCTCGTTGATTCATGTACCTGGAGGGTACATGGGTTAGGGTTTAGGATTTAGTGGTTAGGGGTTAGGTACCTGGAGGCTTGCTGAACCCTAGGGGTTTAGGGTTTAGGGTGGAGGGTGTTAAGGGCTTAGGGTTTTGGGGTTCAGGGTTTCGGGTTTTGGGTTTAGGGTTCGGGGGTCCAGTGTTTAGGGTTTAGCGTTTGGGTGTCCACAGCGAGGTTCATGGGTATAAGTCCCCTAATCTGGGCTAGAACTATAGCTACCCTGCTTATAACCCCCACTTATAAGTATCAAGGGGGCAGTGCCCAAACTAGAATGACTTGGGCCTGTTATGCCCGTTTCCAAGGGCTTTCCATCCCCCAAAAATGGCCCCAACCGGGCTGTTGATGTGAGAACTATCGCGTCACGAGGCCTGTAGCCAAATCCTCGAAGTGATTTGCCGACGCTGTCTTCGAAGCGGTTCCAGGGCTTAGGGGCTTGAGGCTTTAAAGCGTGGGTTTGGGCCTTCGGGTTTAGTGCTTCGTGGGTTTGCCGCTCTCATCTAGGTGCCCGACTTGAACACAGCCTCCTCGACATTCCAGCTGTGCCTCTCTAGCCAATCCTGCGCCCAGCATCGATCGGGATAGGGATCAGGTCATGCTGTCATGCTCTTCCTACGCTCATTCTGTAAAGCACTGTAAAGCGTCTGCCGTGCACGGATTTAGAGAAATTCGTTGAATAACCAGGTGGAATCAGTTGAGGTTCAACCGGGAAGTAGTCCGAGGAGGGAGTCAGTGTTGGAGCTCCGGAGAGGACGTTGCCATTCAGCTCAAAGCCTCCAGAAAGCAAGGGCTCAGCCCACCTCCGAAAAAGCTTGCAATGATATCGCTTCCCTCTGCCCAGCCTCCCGCTCGTCAGAAAGATCCGTGAGCGACAATCTGGAGAGCATGCCCGGACTGTTGCATCAGAAGCCTCGGGCCTCAGCCTGCCCCTGCAGTCCGTCCTGCGCAGTCAACCTGCTCTCGTTGGTCATGTTCATGAAGAGCTGTACCTCGACAGAGCTCTTGTCGGATGGGTCATGCCTCTCTCCCAAACAGTGAGTTTCAAGGCTTCCGCGGTTTTTCCTTGGGAGAGGCCCGCCAGAGACCCAACCCTACAGCTGCAGACAGAATTGATACTGAAAGGGTCCGTGCTTGCCACCATTCGATCGCTTGCACATCGTCAAGGTCTCGTTCCCCCGGCCCCCCTCCGCTAAAGCGGGCTGGGGACTGCGTGCATCTTGGAGCCCCAGATCTGGACCCAGGAGCAACGCAGCATCAAGAAGCTAAGGGGAAGTCATATCAGTTACAAGATCACGTCTTATGATTTATATAATATAACTTATTATAATATATTCTATTACAGCTTAATATATTTTGGTCACAAGCCGGAAAGCAGCCCAACCCCGCGAGCACCATCGCCGCGACGTCGGCCTCGGATTGAGGCAGTCGTCCTTGGCAGGGCCCAAGCAGGCATCAATGTGCCGGCCTAAAGCCTACTAGACCTTCAAGCCTTCGATCAACCCAAGAAATAACCCCAGACCACTCCGAAGTTCGTCTTGTGACCGAAACCGAACCCCCCAAAATCGCCCCCCAACGACTCCGCTTCCGCGACCAGCAACCGCCGAGGGCAATGCCAGCGACGGGGGAGCTCGGGCTGGAGTGTGGACCTGCAGCAATTTAGGGTTTAGGGTTTAGGGTATATAGGAACCTGATGAAACCTGATGAAGAAACCCTAATACTAAAGTGAGCCCCAACATGCAATATAGGAGCTTGATTAAGAAACCCTAGTAATAAAGGGAACCCCAATATATTGGGGTTATAGGGCCAGGGTTTTTTAATGAGGCTCCTACATTAAAGGGCTCGTTGAGTGCAGGGAGTGCATGTTGTGGAGAACAGGCCACTCTTCATGCATCTTCATACATCTTATCATCGCACCGCTGAAGCGTGTCTCAATGCCGTGGCTCCACACAGTTTAGGGTTCAGGGCTGGTAACGCGCATGTGGCACCTTGCTGAATGAGCCAGGATTATCGCCTTTGCGCTTTTCAGCGCCGCTTCGGAGTTTTTGTTTCCAAAAGAGCGGGTTGGCAGAAAGCGGGTTTGGTTGTGAAAGTGTCGCACACAGGTCGGAGTCTTGAAGCATTCAAGCGACGATGCTGCGCATGATCTCCGATGATCCCGGGTCTGGAGGCATCGGAGCTCATGCAAAGCTTCCAGTGCGTATTACGCATTATTTCGGAGGCCTGGATTTGCTGCACACTATTCAGTGCGCTGCACCACTGTCAACGTTAAATTGATCAGAACCCCAGGTCACAACGGATCCATTGATGACGAGGCTTGGATCTGCTGCACATTGCTCAGCTGAATTTGCACGGCACCGCTGTCACAGCCATAGAAATCGCGGCCCCAGGTCACGACACGCTGTCAAGAATAGCAAACGCAGCCGTTCGTGGCTTGGATTTGGCATACTGCTGCAGCCGATCCGGCAAAGCACTTGCAGGACCAGTTTCCATCGCCGGGAGGCTTGGATCTGCTGCACCTTCTTTAGCTGATCCTGTACGGCACTGCTCTCAGCACTGCGGAAGCTACCACCGCAGGTCACGACAGATCCGTCTGGAAGAATAGCCCTAAACCCTAAAACTAACCCTAAACCCCAAACCCTAAAAGTGCGTGGCTTGGATTTGCCTGGCGTTCTTCAGCCGATCCTGCACCTCATCATTGCTGTCACCACCGTGACAAGCACTGCCCAAGGTCACGCGGCCGGCACCACCAAAACATCACAGAGAAATCGCCAAGGCTAGCTGCAAAGGCAGGGGTAGTTTGGTATACGTTAGCTTTCTTGATGTGCAAGGTCAGTGAATCACCATTTTGCAGCCTTGCCCTATACCTGAAACCTATAATACCCCGGACAATACTCTTTGAAGGAACCCTATAGTAGTACCCTATGAAGGAACCCTATAGTACAATACACACTGTAGTACCCTTTGAAGGAACCCCATAGTAGTACCCTATGAAGGAACCCTATAGTACAATACCCATTATAGTACCCTTTGAAGGAACCCTATAGTAGGTCTTAAGGGACCTTAACATCTGAAACCCTAAACCCTAAACCCTAAACCCTGAACCCTAAACCCTCAGCCCCTAAACCCCAAACCCTAAACCCTGAAACCCTAAGCCCCTAAAGCCCCTAAACCCTAAACCCTAGACCCTAAGTAACAGAGCTCAGCATCGCCAGGGGCCCGGGCTCTCCTCTGGCTGTTTCCGCCGCCACGGCCGCGGCGCCTCGCAAAGGGAAGGGGGCATCCGCCTATATTAAAATAGAATATTCGATTACGGTTTAGGGTTTAGGGTTTAGGGTTTAGGGTTTAGGGTTTAGGGTTTAGGGTTTAGTCTATTAAATGATATCTGAGAATAGTAGCAGAACAGTATACCGTGAAGCCCTTTTCTTATCATCTTGGCCCTTGTATCATGATGTCTAGAACTTTAAGCTTACGGTCTGGGCGCGGGGTGACTGGTAGACATAGCTAGTCGCAGCGACGGCAGGGTGGGTAACCCGCTTCGTCTGCGGAATGCTGAGACTTGCGCGCTTACTGCGTGTCTCATACGACAGACGCCGACCTGACGAAAAACCTGCAAAATAGGCGGCAGCACCCTATAGTGAAGCCCAGAAAGTTGGAACATGGATTTGGGAAGATTAGTGCTGGGATTCCCTATACTTTAGCTCAAGGGCATGAGGATAACAATGTTCGCACTTGCTGGCTGCTACTGCACAATTAAAGTTGTGATGCCGAGACCTGTGCATATCGGACTGACTTCGGCGGATCTTCGTGTGCAATGGCCCCGCTAGGTCACTAGGTGGAGGCCTGCGTCCAGAAGTAGAAAAGCCATGAATGGAAGCAGCTCTGTAGCGATACAACAAACGGATACATGGTAGAAATACACGCCCCTCATCGCCCCGATCTTCTTCTCTATAGAAACTCTGGAAACCCTGGGTCGAAACACCACGCAGCTACATGCGAAGCCCCTACGCTGCGCCGCTGCGCAACCCTCGGACACATGTCCACAAAGACCATCAACCCAAAGAGATCCCACACTAACAGCGCTGACATTGGAGCCCACCCGGTCGAAAGGTGACTTGAAGGCGCTGGAACTGCCGGCCTCCACAGAGGTCAGGATCTAATTTCACAAAGTTTCAGGATTCACGAGGCTTGCACAAAGCAGAATCCACAAAGAAATCCCATGGAAGTGGTAGCTGCAAAAGCAGCTGCCAGCGGGAGGAGAGGAGCTTACCGTTGCCATGGTGGGTGCGGGTATTGCTTCTGGCTTGGCCTCAGGTCATAAGATCAAACTTCCAGCCCTAAGGCCATGAGGAACAAGAAGAAGTATCGGATCTCGGAAATGCAAAGCCGCGTGCAACTGCCGAGACAAAGCCTGCAATATGTTAGGCTCTAAGGTCTATAGTAAATCCCAAAAAGTTGGAAACCGGAATAAAGACAAATAGTGCTGGGATTCCCTATACATGACTCTTACGGATTGAGGCTATTGGGCTTCCAACTTTTGAGCTTCTACTGCAGGGTTGAGTGCACCACGGTCCTGCTTGTTGTCAACGCTCCCGGGTGCGCCCACGGACGTCATCTTCTGCGAGAGCTTCTGTGCCTTCTCCTTTTCCTGATGAGGCTTTGCCGGGCGATGTGGGCATGGAAGGTTTGGGATTTTCGGTTCTGAAGAGAAAAATCTGCACTTTTGCTCAGTGTGGGGGGGCGTCTTAGGGCTGTTGACGAACCATTGCTCTGAGATGACTAAATTCGAGTCGCCTAGGCCAGCAAGCACGTGTTTCTTACAAACGGAACGAACGGAAGCTCCAATGCCACGATAAAGTTTTGGGCATAGAGTTCGGGATAGCTTCGCTGGCCCAAGTCCCGGCAAAACAAGGCCTCCTGCAGGTACTCCTCATCTGTCAGCATCTCCAAGATGGCAGCAGCCTAACGTCAAGGGCCGACAAACGGTGGCAGGCACTGAACAACTCGTGTCGGATGAGAACTCTAGCAGACTCTAGCATGCTTCCATTTTACGTGCAGGACCGTCGTGGCGAATAACCGATGATATCAACCGTGCTATCCATGGCCAAGTAATGCCAAGTGTTGTTTCACATGTCTGACTGCTTCGACAGCATCGGGGGCCACATGTACTGCAGTCTCGGCAACCCCACTTCGCCAAGCGCAGTTATCTTTTGACATCTTCCACCCCGACCCGTGCCTTCGATCGGATGCCGGCCCCAACATCTTTGCCCTCCTCCATGAAGCGGAACTCCTTCCACTGCCTGAGTCAAATGATTCAGTGGAGCGCAGAGAGTTGCCCTGCAGGCAGAAAGCCGCATGCTGCTGCTGAACGTCTGATCCACACGCCGGCTCTAGGCATAGTTTCTCAGAGAGGCACTGAATTCTCCACTGGTCTCTCCGTACATCCTGAGCATGCGCTTTGGAATATCGGTTTCTGACGGTCTGCTTCAAGAACCGGAGCCGCCGAAAGAGCCCCGTCTGGTGGCACCGAATCATGACTTCCAGATTACGGGATGTTGGACCCCAGCCTGGATTGCCCGTTCACTGCCGTGCTTGAGGATGACCTCACAAGGTCAAGCATCACACACAAACAAGCGTGAGAAGGCGTTAAGGGCTTGCACCCAACTCCTCATCTGCACGTCGTGGGACTACATCGGCCTCCTATGCTAGATCACAGCGGCCTGGGCAAGGCACTTGTGTACCTCCTGGACCAGCCCAAGAAACGCAACCATACAGCCCCAGCGCATCACAAGACTTTCCCACAAGAACCTCCAGCAAAGCCATCGTCTTCACGATGCGTCGCCACTCTTTGTCCTTCTTCTCCTGCCAGGGATGCCCAAGGGCATTGCGCACCGCAACTCCTACCTGGCAGCAAAAGCTTTCCTCTTTCGACTTGCCCAAAGATCCCAAAGTCAAGACCTCGGACCCTGAGGGGATGCAGGATGCAAGTCCTGGTCTAGAAAGTCGCAAAGGCCAAGTTATTAGCTGTGCAATCAAGTACACCTGAAATCACCTGCAACTACAGCATTCACAGGAGCCTGTCCTGAAGGATCTTCCAGATGAAGCTCATGACCATGTCACAGTCTTCCTCAGCCAGCTGCTTGCAGCAGCGTCGGCACGGACCAACATCGCAAGGTTGACACGCTCGCAGGTCTCATGCTTGCAGCAAGGCAGATGCACGGTGCTGTTGAGGGCCGCAGCTTTTTTCCGGCTGCCTA